CCCAGCCTAAAGGAAGGAGCGACTGAACCTGGGGCAGGAGTGAGGTTATAGGGCCATAAGCAGAGAACCAGAGTGAAACATCAGAGAACTCCAGACAGCACCAGTGCTCTGGCACCCTGGGTCTAGCCTGGCTATCCAAGTCCAGCTCCATAGGTCAGCTCTGAATACTTTTGGCCACGACTGCACTGGATCTCCACCAGGATTTTGAGTCTCTCCTGGAGGAGCACCAGCACACTTTGGCTATGTCTACACTGCACCCCTTTTCCGGAAAGGGATGCAGATTAGACACAATTGCAAATCCGCGGGGGATTTAAATATCCCCTGCGGCATTTGCATTTACATGGCTGCCGCTTTTTTCCGGCTTGGGGATAAGCCGAAGAAAAGCGCCAGTCTAGACGTGATTCTCCGGAAAATAAGCCCTTTTCCGGAGGATCTCTTATTCCTACTTTGAAGTCTAGACCACAGTTTTACTTTCGAAATAGCACTTTTTCAAAAGAGCGCCATAACGTGATTTTATGCAAATGAAGTGCGGGAAATTCTAATCCTGGCTTAATTTGCAATTTTGATAATTTACATCCCTCTGTCGAAACAGGGATATAATCTAGACACAGCCAGGGTGTCTACACACAAAGCGCACATCAAAATAGTGCTTAACTATTTCTAAATAGTGCGTCCACACTGATTGGATGCTAACTCGCACATAAGGCCATCTGGAACCAGTTCAGGCAGGGCATCAGGTCAGCAGTTACTTCCTGGAACTGCTGCCTGAGGTTATCTGAGACGAGAGATTAAAGGGACCCTCCTGTACAGCTGTTTCTTGGGTTCTTTTCCTGCTTGCTTGCCTACCTTTCTGAGATAAAGCAAAGCATTTTCACTGCATGTTTTAGTTGCCCTGTTTTTGGACATCACAGCATTCCCAGCTAAGGAGCCAGAGCTCCCTCTGGGCATGCATGACTGTCATGATGCAGTTTCTGCAGTAGTTTCCACAGGCTGCCCTCTAGGCCCTGCAGGAACACGGCCCTCAGCTATTTGAGGAGCCCCTCAACCTCTGTCTGGGAATGCAGCTCTTCCAGCTTCACCCCCGCTTCTGGCAGCTGGACACCAGTTCCAACTGGTGGGACCGACTCGTTATGGAGCAGTGGGACAACCAGCAGAGGCTCCAGAATTTCTGCATGAGGAAAGAGACCTTTCTAGAACTGTGTGCCTGGCTCATCCCTGCCCTCATGCAACAGGGCACCCAGATGTGACCTGTCAACCCCCTGGAGAAGCGGGTTGCCATCACTATTTGGAAGCTCGCCATGCTGAGCAGTTACCATCCATCAGGAACCAGTTTGGCATGGGGAACTCGACCATTGAGGCCCTCGTCATGCAGGTATGGCATTCTTGGGCTCCAGTCCTGTGGGATGGTGAAGTTCTGTAAAGGGGAACCCCAGGGAAAGACGGAGTGGGGGTGGATCTGGGAGGAAAGCCCCCTTACCCGGGCGGTTCTCCAGACCCACCCTCACACAGCCCTGCCGGGGGGATGGGCTACATAGGGGGTGGCTCCTGGTGTGGTTGAGGAGTGTGAAGGGGGGGACTCGGTGATCTCCCAAGGGCTCTGCCACCCCAGTGATTCTCTGTTTTGTTTGTCTCCTTCTGCAGGTGGTGAGGGCCATCAACACTGTCCTGCTGCGCAGGATCATCTACCTTAGTGACGTGGACCCCATCATCACCGGCTTTGCCGCCATGGGCTTCCCCAACCATTGGGGGGGGCGATGGATGGCACCCACATCCCCATCTGGGCTCCCGACCACCGGAAATCTCTACATTAACCCCAAGGACTACTTCTCCATGGTCCTACAGGCCCTGGTTGACCACCGCGGGCAGTTTACAGACTTCTGTGTTATGTGGTCGGGGAAGGCACACAACACCCCCGTGTTTCACAATTCCAGCCTGTAAAAGAGTCTTGCCTAGCTCACCACAAAAAGGGCTACGGTCGCCCATATTTATTGGGAATCCGGGTCAGTCCCGTAGCCCTAGGCACAACCCGCAGCGAAAGCCCGCCCGGTTCCCCAGTCCCTTGATTATATCAGAGGACGCCCGAGGCTGTCTTTTCCGGCCGGCGGAGTAGGGGGGTTCGGGCCCGCCCCCTCTCCGAACCCTGGCCCACGGCCCTGAAGGCAGGGACTCACGGTCCCTCCCTAGAGGATGGGGGAAGTGCCCCAAAACACACCCGCTCACGGGCTACACGACCCCGCCCTGGGCCGCTTCCTACTCCGCCCTTCCTAAGGGCTGGTCCTGTCCGCCTCTCCCAGCCTCACCTCTCCTTCCTCCAGCTCCTCGGCTCTCCGTTTCTCCCTCCCCCCTTCCACGGTGCTGGGCCCGGTTTTAAATCCCCCCCCGGCCCTCGCCTCCCACGTCATTTCCTCCCTCTCACCCAGCAACCCCCATTCACCCGTGACGTCACCCGCCGGCGTCTCCGTAGCGCCTCCTCCCTGGC